GACACTGTGTTCGGTCAGTCTCGCTCGGGGGGCGCGGGGCGCGGGGCGGAACCCCGGCACGTCGGCGCCGTAGGCTCGGGAAGGCGCTGCCGTCGGACTGAGGCGCCGAGGCCTCGGGCCGCGTCCCAGCCCCGGCCCAGGCGGGGTCGCTGCTTCCGCAGTTGGTTTCCGACTTTCTCTCAACTCCGAGAACCAGGCGTTCCCCTCTACTAGCGTTTGCCAGAATCCGGGTTGGAGCAGATAGGCGGAAGAGGGCGGGGTTTCTCTCTTCGCCGCTGCCGGGAGAACTTGAAGCGGGGAGCCGGTCTCCAGACGCCGGCGGGCCTGCGGCGGCTGAGGGCGGGACCGGCCGGGACCTGGGCCGCAGCCGACCCGGCGAGTGGGCCGCGCGGCACTCGCTTCCTCCCCCAGGGTTGGTGGCCGCGGCCTGCCCGGAGCCCAGCCCTGACTCATGTTAAGGCGTCTGGGTCCCGGGCCGTTCCTGGAAACTCGTGTTGAGCACTTCATCACAGCCCTGGGAGGTTTCAGAAGCAGAAGCGACTCCGTGTCAGAGGAAGCCGCTTTCCCCTGGGCAGGTGCGCCGGCGCTCCGCTCCCAGGTTGTGCATTTCAGAGTCAGGGTCTCCTTTCAGGCCTCAGGACCTGATGCCACTGACTTGCCCCCAAACTGTGTTTATCCTCTTTATAATCATGTAGAATTTATGACAGTTGTTCTTTAAAGACTTGAAGTTTTAAATCAGCAAATGTGTAATGGAGACCAGTATATATAATGTACCGGCCCGGGGAAACCACACTTTTCCTGCTGTTTGATACTTTATGATGATCATGCTTTACTGTCCAAAGTCACAGCTTCACTTGTGTTCCTGTCAGGACAAATGAATATTGTTAAGGGTATATATACTGTGTTCCTTTACCAGGTACTTTGCTACTAAGTAAAACAAGAGCATGGGATTAAATAAAACCTATTCAAGGAAAGGCAGATACTTTCTGAAATGGAAGATAGGGAGATTGTATGAAGAAAACTTGATAGTTATATATTTATAATTAACGTTCATATCAAAAGCATCATCAGTTTTTAAAAATTCTTCATAAATACTTAGAATATCACTGTTACCTTCACATTTAAATTTGTTTCAGACATATTTGCTGGTGTATTTATTTTCCCTAAGAAGTTATCCCGTTCAACTCAAAATCTCCCATTGTGTACAATTACAATTAATCGATTAAAGTTGTATAGCTCTACTATGGAGATTAAACTTTTGTTGTGTGCAGTACAGCAATACTCTCTAAGGCCGGGCTGTTTTCACTTTGAGGAAGTGAGGAAGGGAAAGGGTAAGAAGGCAAGAAACTGGAAGAGTAGTCTGCCAGCCCTGGAACTACCCAGTGGGCTAGTATTCTGCTAAATTATGTATCCATGAAAATCTCTTGCTCATTTAACAAGTATTTACTGAGTATCTACTCTGCATCAGATTAACAAATATTTACTGAGTACCTACTCTGTGTTAGAAGCTTTGTGTATGTCTTTCCAGTCCAAAGGTATATTATTTCCTAGTGACTGAAGACCTTCTTACCTTTAACACTTAACAATCTCAATGAAAGGAGTATTTTCATGTATATGAAATCTATTTTCTTTTGCTTGTTGAAAATTGTTAACTCGTTTCTTGAAGTGTATTCTGTACTGTTAATATGTACTATAGACCACTCAAAATGAATTTTGAAATGTTGAGTTAAATGAAATTCACCAGATTGGTTTGTTTTTGTTTTTTAATATCAGTACCTCTTGGATTTCAATATTGTAATGTATGTGAATTTCTAATTTGAATATAGTGTGTGGGCTTTTCCAAACCGAGTTGACTTCAGAATCCTAATTTCTGGTAACCTGGGAAAGTTCCCCATAGAAGACATTTTGGGAAACGTATTTTAATTCTAGGGAGTTTTTTTGTTTGTTTGTTTTTATTTTTACCCATTTATCTCACCCCTTCTGCCAATAGAAGTGATGCCACCAAGAAGAAATGAGAAATACAAACTTCCTGTTCCACTTCCAGAAGGCAAGGTTCTGGATGATATGGAAGGCAAACAATGGGTGCTGGGCAGGATGGTTGGCTCTGGAGGATTTGGATTGATATATTTAGGTAAAGTAGAACCTTAAATTACCAAATATTCTTGCATTTGTGACTGTAATAGTGATTAACTTATGATATTTTAAAAATAGAAACACTGAAATAATGTAGAATTCATAAATTTACTTAATTAAAATTAATGAATGTACTTTACTAAGCAGTAATATGAAGATAGTTGATGTTTAGTACAATGTCTAGGTCCAAGACATGGCTGACCCACTCCTTGTCCATGTTTTTCTGAATAACTCTTAGAAGTCTTTCCAGAGTGTAATTATACAATTTGCCAGACAAAATGCTAATGTTCTTTTTTTGAGAACCTATTTTCTTGGAAATATACTTTTTACAGCTCAGAAACCACAACTGTATAAATACAAACAATTTCTGTTGGTGAATCGTAATCATTAATATTTAGGTAATACAAGGTTCTATTCATTTCTTAACTGAGCTCCACTGGAGACTTAAAAGCTAACTTAAGGCATCTGTTGCATGAAATGAATTAGCTGCTCTTTTCTGTGTCTAGGATGACCGTAGATATGTGCATTCAGGCATTTAAAAATTACACTGAATCATTCAGGGCTATCTTAAGTCTGTAATGGAATGAGAAAGGGATATCCATTACAAGATTGGATTTGATGAATAAAATAAGATAAATATTAGTGATTAAAAAAATACCCTCAAGGATAAGTTTTAAATGTATTCGCTCATATTACATCTATTTCTATAGGAGTTTAAGAAGTTGATATAAGGCCTCCTTTGGGGGAATTTTAGATTCCTCATCAAATATTTCCAAACAAATATGTTTTGTTGATTGTGAATAATAAAGATCCTTTTCCGAAAAAATAAGATGGTCGGACTCAGTGGCTCAGCCTGTAATCCCAGCACTTTGGGAGGCCGAGGCAAGTGGATTGCCTGAGCCTGTGGGTTTGAGACCAGCACAGGCAACTTGGCAAGACCTGTCTCTACAATATATCAGAAATTAGCTGGGCGTGATGTGAGCACCTGTAGTTCCAGCTACTTGGAAGGCTGAGGTGGAAGGATCGCTGGAGCCTAGCAGGTTGACGCTAGGGTGGCTGTGAGTGTGCCACTGCACTCCAACCTAGGCGACAGAGTGAGACTCCAACTCAAAAGAAAGAAAGAAAGAAAAGTAAATAAAATAAAATAAAATGTAAACATTATACATATTTAAATTCAAGTGCATGTTTAAGATTAAATAGTATATGTCTGTACATATGTATGTATATAAATGCACACATACTCACTATCTGTGTGGTTCTTGTTAAGAAAAAGGATTTGCTCAGGCATATGACTTACTTGTCCTCATACAAATGCAGAGAAATCCTTGCTTCTTTCAGTGTAAATATTTATCACATACTTTTTACTTTTTTCTCATTACCAAAGTAATACTATTTTATTTTACAGCATATTTCAGGGTTTGATATGTTATGAAGCACTTCTACTATTTGAATTTTAGGACCCGGACCCTAGGAAGATTAGTAGCTGCATGCCAGTGGGGAAATACTTTATTTTTATTTTTTATTTTTTTATTTTTGTCTCACTCTGTCGCCCAGGCTGGAGTGCAGTGGCACGCTTCCGGCCACTGCAACCTCGACCTGCTGGGCTCAGGCGCTCCTTCTGCCTCAGCCTTCCGAGTAGCTGGAACTACAGGTGTGTGCAACCATGCCCAGCAATTTTTTGAGTTATTGTAGAGACAAGGTCTCACCATGTTGCCTGGGCTGGTCTCGAACCCACGGGCTCAGGCAGTTCTCTCGCCTCGGCCTCCCAGAGTGCTGGGATTATAGGCTTGAGCCACTGCGCCTGGCCAGAAATACTTTAAAGAGATATTAAGCTGTTTTGAGAAGGCTCCATGTTTCAGAATATGTGATAAAACTGTGTTCCTAATGTTGCCATTGTTCTATCAAAAGTGATGCTAATGAATCATAGACTCTGTTTAACTTAATTAAACTCAGTTTTTTCAAAGCTATAGAAGCAAATCCATGTGAAATTGTATCATGCTTTTGCATTTGCCATGGTTCTCATCACTTCCTGTATATAAGTGAAGAAAAGAAGCAGTTAAATTCAAGATTTCCTTAATACTCTTGTGTCCAGCTACATTCTTTTTAGGTATTATTCTTTCCAGATATACTGTTTCAGCAGACACTTTATCAGCATTTGTTGCCTAAGGCAGAGAAGAAACTAGCCACTCTAACTCATTGTGCATGTACAACTGTCCTCTAGCTTTGAGATCAATAGCCAGGCCTTTCAGTAATCAGCAACTTACAGTAAAGGGGAAGGGGCAGAGAAATTTGGTATTTACTCTTGACTTGGAGAAATAATGTGCCTGTAGCACTAATAGAAATAGTTATAGAAGGGAAAAGAAAAGTCTGAATAAGAGAACAAAGTCAACGTTCTTTTTTTTATATTTGAAAAGATGGGGAAGAAAGGAAAGATAGGAAACTGGTTTAAGGGATGGGGAAAATTGCTGTCATTTAGTATCAAATAAGTGAAAAAAATTTTGAAGCACCAGGAAGGAGAGAGAACTGAGGGTTTGAATTCTACTTTCATGCCAGGTAGAACATAGAACCAAGTAAACTAGGGGAGAATTGCATAAATAAAAGCAGGGGTTTGGTGTTAGACAAATCTGAATTAAATCCTGACGTGACTGAGGCACTTACAAACTGAGTGACTTTCACTTAGTTACTTAATTCTTTGGATTCTCTGTTTCAATTGTGTGTTATGGGGATATTAATAAATGTGCGGGTTAAATGAGATAATTTTTTTAATGAACTTGGAACTTGGTAAACACTTAATAAATATAATTTATCTATTAGAATTTCCGATATGATGCCATAGTGGATTAAGATGGTGACAAAGACCTCCATTAAAAGTGTTTTCTATTTATTCTGCCTTGGATTGTGGTAGATTTAATTACTAATGTGGTACAACTAAGAACATGGAGAATGTCAGTAGAAGATTTATGACATTTTACTTCTGTGTCTTTTTCTCCTAATATTTACTGTAGTAGCTGTGATGGATGGTGAATAGTTCTCAAACCTAAGCTGTATTTTATCTGCTTCTGATATAAAGGGTACTGGGCTTCAGAAATAATTTAAAATCCAGAAAAGCAGAATTATAGGATAAACTTCAGTCACATTCCTTTGAAGTCTGATTATATTAGTAAAAATAGATATGACTTATCTGTGGAAGTCTTAGTTTTTGAAGTTGGGTATAGTGATGACCATTTAGCATCTTTGGAGTATCAAGCACAGAATAGATGACTAACAGTTTTTTGCTTGAGAGGTGGAGACTGAAATTGGAGTACTTAACCCACACAAGCTAGTTTGCTTTGTTGTCTTCCATAATTATAGTTGTCACTCTTAACTCCAGTCTGCAGTCAAGGGACATTGAGACAAGGTGACTATCATGGCATTATCTACAAGAGTGTTCATATGCTTTATTGACAGTATATCAATAGCATTATCTTTGATAAAGAACACATTATTATAACTAAAATCAACTGTGGTGAAGCTCTAAGGTCAGATCATTTATCCATGGATAAATGTTTAATACTCATCAAAGTGACTGTCAGACATTTTTTTAGGCATGTGTCAGATTAGTCTAATTTTGTACTTTAGAAACATAAAAGAAATCTTTTTGGGGGGAGATTTTTAGAAATTATCAAAGTTTACCTAATTTATTTTATTGATAAGGAAACGTATCTGTTTATGAAGAAATAGAAAAAAATTGTATGTAATTTTTATTTATTTGTTTTACTTTTTAGTCAGCTGTAAAGGATTGATTTTTAGGCATGCAGAATAAAGTTTGGAAGAGTCCAGTGATAATGCTAGCAAAAAGGTAGTGAATGAGAACACAATATTGCATTATATGTTGTAATATTAAATGCTATTTTGGCAGTGTTTTATAGGGAGAGGCATGGGATAAGCAGTTAGTCTTATTTGAAGCAGTGCAAAATTATGGTACTGCCATAATTGTCACTAGGAAGTTTGGCAAAGGTTACTGTGGGGGTGAAAAGAAGAGAATAAAGGTGAAAATAAGGATATTTTATACTAGAAAATATAGTATGTATGATAAATTAATTCCCTGATGAAGGTGTAGATAAACTTAAAAAGAAAAAAGGAATCATCTGGGATTTTGTAAATTTAATACACTCGTTGGACTTAAAAACAAGAAATGAATGTCTCTAAAAGACGTATTTTAATTTGTATGTATTTTAATTTTGAGTTTTTTTAAAAGAGATAGCGGCCATGCTTATTTATGTACCCATTAATAAATAAATATATAAGAAAGTTTGGTTTCTTTCCATAGAAAGGGAGAGTTCTTGTAATCCTTAGCCTTTACTTGACATTTTCATTTTTTAAAGATGTCCAATCTTCTTTTTAACATATTTTATATTATGGTTCTTCATTTTTAGCATTTTACTGTCAGACTCTTTTGCCTTAAGGGAAGGTTTATAAACTACTCTGCTCTTCGGTGCATTTATATATTATGTCTCTTCCACTGCACCTGTTACTATCTTGTAACTGTTTACAATGGTCAAGGTTTTTTTAAATTTGAAACCTATTGCTATGGGGAAATTTCTTCTTCCTGAAATGAGCTCACCTCTATTGCTACACAATAAAAGAATTCTCAGCTTTTGAGAGCTTCTGGCTTCCTTATGAAATATGGATAGACTTCTGCTTCTGAAGTGTTTTAGGTTTTTTTTCTTTAGATAAGGAGGAAGAGGCATAAATAGTATGAGGTGTGTTTCTTCTTTTATGACACAGGCATATCTATATCTATAAAACTAATAGGAAGAGGATTAAGAAACTTTGAGTTCTAAATGAAAGTGTTAGAAATTACCTATTTGGGTGATGCAAATTTGTTCATCATCTAAACATAGGAGTGCTTATGGATTTTATGCTGCTTAGATACTTGATTTTGCAATTAGTATTCCTTCAGATTGTTTGTTCTCAATAGCTCCATTTCATCAGTATTCTACATGAAAGAATATTTTA